GTTCCTGTTAAAGATTTTGGGTGAATCCTATTCCTCCTAAGGCAGCTTCAGGTGTTATCGTTAGTCTAGTTCCTTCATCGTTTTAACAGATAAAACTAAGTGCCAGATAGGCAATTGCATAAGGCCAAGTAATTTGCATATAGTATAGTTAGTACCTGACTTCGTGTTTATTGTTTTCATTTGCTGTGCTAGCCAACCTACTTCCTCTACACTATGAAATAAATCAACAGGAAGAATCTCATTAAATGAAACATTTTATTGACAATTAACAGGAACTCCCAACTTTTGCTGTGTGGCAGTTTTGCCCTTGCATTATTGCTAAACCCAGTCACAGTTATTAATATCCCACTTTCTTTGTCTTTTCCTTCAGTGTTTGCTCCCAGTGACAGAGAGCTGTTTACTTTTAGACTGTACTACACATTTCACATTATCTGTACACAGTCACCATCTAGTGGTAAAATGATGTAGCTGCAAGTTTATAGACAGCTAAAAATAAAAACTACTTTATGATTGTAAGCCACCCCATGGTAGGAATGTTATGGTATAGCGATACATTTAGTGATACTATCAAAAATGACAATGCAAGCAATGTATTCAACAAAGTCCCTTAACTTTGTAATTAAGGATGTGAAAATTATAAAAGTCTCATCGGCCAACACTGTGGCGAAGTGGATTAAGCTGCTGCCTATAGCATCCCACACAGGCACTGGTTTGAGTCCTGGGTGCTCCACTTCCAATTCAGCTTTCTGCTAATGTGCCTGGGAAAGCAGCAGAGGATGGCTTAAGTGCTTGGGCCACTGCACCCATGTGGGAAAACAGAAGAAGCACCTTGCTCCTGGTTTTTGCCTAGTCTAGCCCAAGACATTACAGCCATTTGGGGAGTGAACCAATGATGGACGACCTCTTTCTCTCTCTCTCCTCTGTCTTTTGAAGTCTTATTGCTGACATGGAAAAATGCCTAAAGGTCAAATTTATCATCACATTGGGGCCAACATTGTGTACTGAATAAAGCCACCATCTACAATGTAGGCATCCCATGTGGGTACCAATTCATGTCCTGGCTGTCCCACTTCTAATCCATCACTATGCAAATGGCTTGAGAAAAGCAGTGAAAGATAGCCCAAGTGTTTGGGCCCTTGCCATCCATGTAGGAGACCCAGGTGAAGTTCCTGTGCATCCTGGCCCAGGACAGGCCATTGTTGCCATCTGGGGAGTGAACCAGCAGATAGAAGATTCTCTTTCTCTGTGTGTGTGTAACTCTTTCAAAAAAAAAATCTTTAAAAAAATTTTAGCAGTACATGTTCATAATCTTTAAGGCATTAAGTTGTGGATATATACAACTAAAATAACTTGGGGATTCCACAATAAGGTGTTCTTGGTAAGTAAAGTTGGTTTATTCATTTCAAATCCAGAGCTAATTTGTATAACCAAAACATACACTGCAAGTACCCTCTAATATCTAGTGATTTCCTTATTAAAATAGCTGAAGTTATTGTGAACAGAGTTACTATGCCAAGGAAGCTTTTTATATCAACAAGATAGAACTGTTATTTTACGCTGGAGATACCACAGAGATTTTATTTCCGAGGAAGAAAAAAAAAAATCAGTATTTGTATTTAAAGTTAGAAGCATTGGGACGAGTGTTGTGACGTAGCATGTAACGCTACCACATGCAGTGCCACTTATTCCAATCCAAAACTTGCGTTTTTGAATCACTTAGTGAGAAACTGACTTTAAAATTTCCCTCCTGTTGAGAAATACTACAAAAATTAGGTATCTTAAAGTCACATCATTGTAGATATTGAAGAACATCTGGTTTTTTAATCCTTTGAATTCTATGCTAAAAGACTTCTCGTCTTGAATCTGAAAACTGAAGATGAGTCTTTTTGAGGCTATTTGTTTTGAACAGCAGAGACACAGAGAAAGAGAGAGAGCTCCCATCTGCTGGTTCATTCTCCAGATGCCTGCAGTAACTGTACTGGGCTAAGCCGAAGCTAGGAAATAGGAAGTCAGTCCAGGTCATCCTGTCATCCTGTGAGGAGGGCAGGGTCCCAGCTACTTGAGCCATCATCTGCTGCTTTTCACTCTGCATTAGTGGGAACATGGAATTGGTAGCTGGAGTCAGGACTTGAGCCCTGACGTTCCATGTGGCAAGCATGTGTCTTAACCACTGGTCCAAACGCCTGACCCCTAGAATGAATGCTAAAGAATTACCCCTGGGAAAGCTGTTTATTCCCACATCCCACGTTGGAATACTTGGGTTCAAGCCCTGGCTCTGGCTCCTGATTGCACCTTCCTATTAAGGCAGACTCTCAGAGGCAATGGTGTTGATTTAAGTAATCCATGTGGGAGACCCAGATTGAGTTCCCACTGCTGGCAAGAATTATTCCAACCTTGAGTATAATTCTGTGTTCAGTTTGGCGACCTTGAATGTATGTGTTTTGTTTTGTCTTTAAGATTTTATCTATTTGAGGTAGAGTTACAGAGAAAGACAAAGGTCTTCCGTCCGCTGGTTCACTCCCCAAATGGCGGCAGTGAGCGAAGCCAAGAGCCAAGAAAAAGGAAAGGATAAAATCTGGCAATAAGTAACACTGACCCAAGAGAAGACAATCAGCAACTGATAGTAAACCACAGCAGACTTTCAGCTTGAAAAATACTAAGCAAAGCACAGCTCTGGCACCATGCCTGCTTTGTCATCTGACTTATCAGTTGCTTAAACTAGTAAACTCACAGTTCTTGCCTATGAAGGAGGGCAGATAATATTGTTTTAAATCCCAGTTTACAGATGAGGAAATTGCTGACTTGCTTAAAAGTCCTGCTAGTATACGGAGTAAGCTGCATTCGGAAACCACCTCTTATGATCTCTAAGCATTTTTGAATGTACCAAACTACCTCTCATAATTCACAAAGGGATGTTGAACATACAGAGTGTTCCGAGTACAAAACTGGTTAGTGCTATCTCTCATTTGTTTCTTATCAGTGCTGCTTTATGCATATGGATACCTGTGCCTCTTCAGCAACGCATATATAACACATTTGTAAACAGCCTAAACAAGAGCAATAGCAAACAGCTGCAAAGCAACCACTCATTAGTTATACAGGCTTATGAAAACAAGAAAAACAATGGTTAATATATCTTAGATGACTTTGTTACATCTACGCATGTCTTTATTCACAGTAATGATATGTATTTTAACCTTTCACTTCAAAAGCAGCACTATATTCATTAATAGTGACAGCATTGATGTCCAAATAGTTCCTAGATAATCAAACTTCATGATTCTCAAATATCAAGGCCAAGTTCTTGATCTATCTCTTTTGTCAGTAGCTTTTCTCTCATACTGCAATTAGCCATCTGACATCTGTTTCATTAGTTCATGGCCATAAAGAATCTGATTCAACAAGGAGGCAGCTCTCCAAAATTTGTATGAAAGAATAGTAGATTGAATTCATTATGCTCAATGTTAAATCTAGTGAGCTTAGAAAAGAAACTTCTAATTTAAATACTAAATCACCCACTTTTCTTGACTTCCAAGGCTTATATTACACCCCAAACTAAGAAACTATAAAATTTTCCATCTTGCTTTTATTGTATTTGGTTACATCTTCTTAAATTCTTAATGTTAAAAAGAGCAGAGCGAATCCAGAGAAGACCCTAATAACATAAAGAGAAGCTAATGCTGAATAAACAAATTTATAAGATGGCAATACTAATCCTAAATCCTGAATTTTTCCGGAACTTCTGGCCAAATATTCTACTTACATTGCTAGGATAGTGACTGCAATTTAAAATTTCTCTTTATTGATCTTTTTTAATGATTATATAAAAAATACGTTGCATATTGTAAATCACAGAATTATGGGTATATAACTTTGAAAGTAAAAGGCTGCATAAGTATAATATTAAGTAACCACAAAATAACTACTGTTAACAGAGTTCTGGGGTAATGACTCCAGATTTATTTTTCCCCAATACAAATAATATCTAGTTTTATTAGAGATTGTTTTCATAAATAATAATGCTATTTCAAGAAGGACATGGGCAAACAGTGGTTAATAGTATATGACAACTTTCACACTTCTTCTTCAGTTGACTATCAAAATTAGCAAGCCACCAAAAACTGAATGCACTCTTCTGATATCCTAAACATGAAATGAGTGAAGGTTCACATTTCACATTTAGCATGTTGTTTGACAGCTTTTTACAAGCCAACCTTGGCTTTCAGGAATTGAAATGAAAATGACAGAATTATCAATCTGAAGAACCACAGTCTAGAAAAGGAACCGTTGCTCCTTCAAGAAACACCATCTCAATGTCACTTTTAAGTTGGATTGCCTGACATACTGGTTACAAATTTAGGGGGATAAGATCTCTGGGTTTAAGGAGTTAATTCTATGCTGAAAATGGAAAGGGAGGAGGACATAAAAATGAATTTTACTTTTTCTACACCACAAAGCGTTTTCGCCTATGTTTGTCAACAATAGGGAATCTCTCCTAGGAGCCAACAGGAATTCTCTCAGAAACTAAAAGGGAAAGGAATTTTCCTCCCACATGAATCAAGTTTCAGAGTCATTGTGTTAGTGAAGTATACTTCTTCCCCCAAAACAACAGTGGACTGTTCTGTATGCTAACAACATAGCTTTAAGTAAAGGAAAACAAAATTGTGCATTGTTATGAAATTTGATTTTAAAAAGTAATGTTTTAAGCTGCACAGTTATCAAAATGTACATGCTGCACTTGGGATTTTCAGCACCTTCTAAATCCCTCATACTCAATTTTAGCTCAGATATTAGCTTTAAGATTTCTCCCCTTCTATAAGCCTAATTACTCTTTTATGATTTAAACATGCTGTCTGCAAAAATTACATAATTATTTATTTGAGAGGCAGAGAGAAAGAGGCAGGCAACTCTATCTAATGGTTCACTTCTCAAATTGCTTGCATTGGCCAGAGCTGAAGCCAGGAGCCAGGGACAATTCAGGTCTTCCTTGTGTGTTTTAGGAATCTGGTTACTTGATCCGTAATCACTGCCTCCCAGGGTCTGCATGGTCAGGAGCTAGAGTCAGGAGCTGGAGTGGTAAGTCATATCCAGGCACTCATATGTAGATGCAAGAATCTTAGCTGCTAGTCTAAATATCTGCTCCTGTCTGCACAACTTTTAACAGCACATTGTATCACTAGATTCTGATATATTTGAGGGCCATACTGATTCTTACATTTTGTGTCTGCTATATATAATATAATTCCTAAATACTCATTCTGTAAGTTTGGGTTAATGGAAAGAGAATTGAATTTAAAGAAAAAATAGATTAATGTATTGTTTATTTTCTTAATGAGAAACATAGCAAAGAAGTGAAATCAGGGAAGTCTCTGAAATTTGAACCCTTATTTTCTTCAATGACACTGGTAAAGTTCATTGGAATATGAAACTTCTCTTTAATTTCTACCAAAAAATGTTTTAAGACAAAAGGATACAGAGAATTACGGGATGTTGTTTCTAAAAGAAAGATAAAAGGAAATGCTTTGTAAATACAGCTATTTACTGGTATTAGAGGAGAATTAGCTCTAAGACCCACCCTTGTTGTGCATACCAGAATCCATAGATGTTCAAGTTCTTTATATGAAATGGCAAAATATTTGCATATACCCAATTCATATCTTACTGTGTACTATAAATCATTTCTAGGTTACTTAAAAATGCTAATACAATGTAAAGGCTATGTTAACAATGTTATATTGTTCTGGGAATAATCACAAGAAAAAAAGCATTTACATGATATGTACAAACAGGTTTTTATACCCCAGCTTTTTTATTTTTATTTTTTTAAGGATTTATTTATTTGAAAGACAGAGTTACAGAGAGATGCAGAGACAGAGAATAAGCGAGACCTTCCATCTGCTGGTTCACTCCCCAAATGGCTGCAACGGTCAGAGCTGGGCCCATCTGAAGCCAAGAGCAGGAGCTTCTTCCTGGTCTCCCACTTAGGTGCAGGGGTCCAAACACTTGGAACATCTTTCGCTGCTTTCTCAGGCCATTTAGAGGGAGCTGTATCGGAAGTGGAGCAACAGGCACCCATATGGGATGTGGGCATCACAGACAGCAGCTTTATCTGCTATGCCATAATGCCAGCCCAGAAATAAAATATTTTAAGTTAAATCTAAGTGAAGTGTAAGAATTGGAAAAAATAATGCTAATTAATGAAAAATGTGTAGTATAAATCTTATTTATAGCTTAGAATTAGGTATGGGTACACATAGTGACTATGAAATGGTGTAAAGGGGTCAAACACAACATTTTGCTCTGAGTAGTTAAACAACTATATTTATTAATCAGGGCAGTATTTGACAGAGAATTAAAATTGTGTCTACTATTAATCCTGTAGATCTCTATCTTTTTTTAACTTAGCATGTATTGATGTGTATAAATTTGTGAATGTTGCTACATCATAAGCACTTTCAATAAAGATGGTTGGTGTTTCTGTTAAACCAAGTTAAACTTTTCTTTTATGATGTGTTTTTCCTTTTTCTCTAGGAAACTGACTGGACACTCCTTCCACATGGGCTATAGCATGGCAATTTTGAATGGCATTGTGGCTGCTCTTACTGTAGCATGGTGCCTCATGTAAATCCACACTGGAGCAATACTGTTGGCAAAATACAGTCTAAATTGTTTTGTAATAACAGGAAAGAACATCATTGCCTACTCAGAAGACTGAGAAACCTAATGTTCATTATATGGTTCACCTGTGTGTCGTCATCGCCATCATTATGGAAGAACTTTTCAAGCATCATTCTAGAGGCTAGACCTTGGGAGTATCTGAATATTAAGTTTCAAGTACTTTCTTAAAAGTATAAGGTGTTTACCTCATCTTTTTACTTTTGTACGTGTAGTTCTTTTAAATTGTAGAAAACATTTTAATGGAAATCAAATTTGAAAACTTGAATACCAGTTAATGCCTAATTTCCCTTGTATATAGTACATTTTTGCTAAGAAATACTGATTTTACTGTGTAATTAAGAAAGAATTATTTCTTATTTATACATTAGGAGAGTAAGCAATACATATTACACCAGCATTTTATAGAACTTACTTTTAAGTAAGAATATTTAGATTTTGATACTCATATAATCAAAGAAGGTGCATGTGTATTTTTATGGGAGGTAGTTCCTTGTGTCTTTTTTTTAACATATTTTCTTTCCTACCACATGTTAAGTTTTTATGTTTTTAAATTATTACATTTAGACAATTGTAAACATTATTTCCTAACTGGTATAACCTAATACTCACCCTTTTTTACTATTTTGCATTTTAAAAAACAGAAAAAAACAATTTTTTAAAATTAAGTAAAATTTTTTAAGTGACTGAAAAAAGATACATTGTATCAATAAAATACTGAGAAATTTGAGACTGCTCACTATTTCTATTCTCACAATTCTAAATATTTATATTGATATATATATGGTTATTTCCAAAATACTGATATTTCATTTTCAATAAACAGGAACCCAAAATTTTAAATGTAGAAATGCTTGAGCTGTGTTTTTATCTCAAAAGAATTAGTTACTAAAGTGGAAGAGGTATTTTGATATTCTATATATGTACAATAAACTTTGTATAATACAATGTATAATATAGTTTCTATAGTTTTTTAATTTTTGTATTTAAATATTCTATAATTATGGTGTTAAGTTTTGTTTTCACAGTAATTTAGCCTTAATTGTTCAGTTTCCTTACTAAATACCATAAGCCATTAGAAAGGCATCTCAATTTTTGAAAGATGTATACTTTATAAAGGTACTTTGCTTGGGTAAGGAAAAAGTAACATTAGTAAACCACTGTGTAGTGAACCTGCTTATTGAGGCTAAATGGAAAATGAATGTGTGCAGAGAATTCCCCTGAACATTATCTGCTAAATATTGTTACTCAATAAACAAGGTGCTTTGCTCTTCAAAAATCTTGAGTTTCTCCACTCTAAATTATCCAAAATGTTTAGACAAAAATGTGTGTGTGACACATCTGGGAGTTTCAAAAAAGTTCATGGAAAATGGATTAAAAGATAGTTGTCACAGGTAGGAGTTTGGACTAGTGGTTAAGATGAGATATCCACATCCCCCCATCAGAGTGCCTTGGTTCAAATCCTGGCTCCAGCTCATAATTCCAGTTTCCTTCTACTGCAGACCTGGGATGCAGCAGGTAATGGCTCAAGTAATTGAGTCTCTGCTGTTAACATGGAAGATCTGGATTGAGTTTCCAGCTCCTGGCTTTGGCTGGTCCCATCCCTGACCACAGTTATGTCTGAGGTGTGAACCAGTATATAGAAACTCTCTTTGTTGTCTATTTCTCTAAAAAGGAACAGAGAAAGAGAATGTGAATTTTACATGAACTTTTTGAAGTTCCTTGTGTGTGTATATACATTAAATACCAATCCCATGACATTCCTCTTGTTCCTGAAGCCCAGTGGCAATACTGCTAGTTATGAAATTTGGTTACATAACCAATAAGTTTCTCTGTTTCAGCCTTCACTGTTCACATTGGCTTTTATCAGTTACAACAAAAGTCAAGATAAGTTTGCTTAGCAGCTGGACTCCATCTCTAGCAAGAAACTGACTCAGATGAGCTCATGTCTTAATTTGTAGTTACCAACATACCATTCAGTTACCTGTGAAGGATACACAGTATGTAAGTTTGCCTGTTGCTAAGTATCAGTGACTTCAAAAAAGTTTTGGGCTAAACCAAAACTAGTTGTTAACCTTGCTATTTCATCAGGAATTATTTATGTCCCCAAATTCAGTTCTACCTTAAGTGTTAACCAGAACATTACCATAGTTAGTTATCAAGATATGAATCTTTAATTATACAAGATGAGTTTTTATAACTATTACTTAATGTAATATTTCTCAATTTCCTTATCTATGGGAATAATACTTAACAAAACCACAATGAAAATACTACACGTCATTTTTTATTTTATTTATTTTTTTTATTTTATTTTATTTTTTTTATTTTTTGACAGAGTGGACAGTGAGAGAGAGAGACAGAGAGAAAGGTCTTCCTTTGCCGTTGGTTCACCCTCCAATGGCCGCCGCGGCCGGCGCGCTGCGGCCGGCGCACCGCGCTGATCCGATGGCATAATTTTTTAAAATATTTATTTTATTTATGATAGAGTTACAGAGATAGGTAGACACAGAGAGATCTTCCATCCGCTGATTCACTCCCCAGATGGCTGCAATAGCAGCAGCCAGAGCTGCGCCAATCCGAAGCCAGGAGCCAGGAACTTCTTCCAAGTCTCCCACGTGGGTACACGGGCCCAAGGACTTTAGGCCATCTTCTGCTTTCCCAGGCTGTAACAGAGCTGGATCGGAAGAGGAGCAGCCAGGACTAGAGCCAGAGCCCATATGGGATGCCGGCACCGCACGCCAGGGCTTTAATCCGTAGTGCCACAATGATGGCCCCTACATGTCATAATTTGTAAGACTTAAATCAGGGGTGGGGAATGTCTGGCCTGTGGGCCGTGTAAGGCCTGAGAAATTATTTGATCTGGCCCTTCCAAGGCAACTATAGGGGGAACTGAAATGTAAATATCTACAGCAGGCTAATTTTTTTAAAAAGATTTATTTATTTGACAGGCAGAGAGAGTGGTCTTCCAACTGTGGGTTCACTCCCCAGATGGCCACAGTGGCTGGAAGTGCACCGATCTGAAGCCAGGAGTTGAAGAAACTCTTCCAGTCTTCCACTTGGGTGCAGGGGCCCAAGGACTTGGGCCATCCTCCACTGCTTTCCCAGGCCATAGCAGGGAGCTGGATTGGAAGTGGGGCAGCCAGGTCTCAAACTGGCACCCACATGGGATGCCAGCACTGCAGGTGGCGGATTTACCCACTACACCACAGCGCCGGCCCCAGCAGGCTAATTTTTAAGTTGATAATTTTGTATGGCCCATAAATGATATTAGAAATATCCAATGGCCCTTGGCAAGAAAAAGGTTCTATACCCCTGACTTCAGTAAAATACTGTTTAAAGTAATTTATAACTTCAAATATATTAATCAGGACACAAGGGAGTTTGAAAACTTAAGCAAATTTTGTTTTTTAAAGAATGAACAGAGGCCATCATTGTGGCATGGTGGGTTAAGCTGCCACTTGCAATGCGGCATCCCATATAGGCATCTCATATGAGTATCAGTTCAAGTCCTGGCTCCTCCAGTTCAGATCCAGCTCCCTGGTAATGTACCTTGGAAAGCAGCAGAAGATGGCCTGAGTGTTTGGGACCTTGCCACATGTGGGAGACATGGATGGAGTTCCAGGCTCAGCCACTGCTATTGCAGCCATTTGGAGAGTCAACCCCCACATGGATGATTCATTCTCTCTTGCTCTGCTTTTCATGTATATATATGAAATATATACATTCATATTTATATATGTATTTTTAAGAAAAACAGAACATTCCTCCCCCAACATCAAAAAAAAAAAAAAAAAAGATTGGAAATAGGAAAGGGGGTGGGGACACAATATCCAATACCAAAAGTAGATTCTTTTTAAAAAGGTAAGAGTGATTTTTTCATTTCTGCCTATTTTCAGTTGGTGCTATATTATAAGCAACAAACCATTTGATTAAGGAAAGGGAAATTTAACTGGAAGAATATTCAGTGTCTCAGAATCAGTGTGTAGGAACCTAGAAAGGGCCAGAGACTCAAGGAGACACTGTAAGGCTGACAGTGGGGATAAACTGGTTTGGACCATGTAAGTGAATCCTTCCTGCCATTTGTTCTTGTGCTTGCAGAGAATGACCAGTTGGCCAAAATTAGGCCACGTGCTTATTCCGTTTGTTTCTGCAGTTACAAAGCAACGTCTGAAATTCTTTCAAGGTGAATGAATGGGTGTAAGTTAATAGCAACAACAAAAAAAGACAAATATTCACTGCAGCTTACTCTTGGCTGATCAAGTTTCACACAATCCTTTTCATACTTAAAATTAAGTACCAGACATAATAGCAGGTAGCATTTACTGCATTTAATGCCAAGGCTTGTGCTGTCAGATTAGCTTGTCTTCTAGTTTTCCAACATTCTCTTATTAATAGTCTGCAAATTATACAAAGTAGTCATTTTAATGCTTTCTAACAGGACAGGAAAGAGGTGGGAGATTTAAAATATGTGTCACATATGACAGAACAAGAAAATATAGACAGAAGTGACTATACTACATTTAAGCCTCCAGGCACAAGAGCTTCCCTTCTATTCACCTGTTTTATTTTTGATTTGGCTACCACCTCGGCTAATTAGGTTTCTTCCCTGATACAGTGACTAAAGATTTATTTCTGACATATCTGAATTTTTACTGGTTCATCTTTTGCCAGTGTAGTAGTTCAATAACATAACCTGAAGCTTTCCCTCTGTTCTAGCTCTCATAGTGTGGCAGAAATTGTTACAAGGTTAAAATACCCCAGCTACCATGATCACCCCCTTTTTTGCCTGATTGTTCATGACACCAAGAATCTAAAATTACCACGTGGCAATTTGAACTTCTAATTTTTTTAAATTCCTTTTTTCTGTACTAAAGAACAGCAGAGTCCAGAGTCAAAAAAAACAGAAAACAAAGACTTTGAGTGGATCACTGAGTGTAAATAGTGAGAAGCATGAGCCAAATGTCAACTTCTTGATTCTTGAACTCATGTATTAACAGGCATCAACTGATGGATGAAAATATATGGTACATCTATCTAGAAAGACCCCAACTTTGTTTTCTTGCAGCTGGCTTCATAATCAATAGATGATTTCAATGTTTGGAAACACCAACTGTGAAAAGATTCATAATGAAAAGTTGGGAAATGGGAAACTAAGGATTAAACACTGTCTGTCTTTTCTGAGTACTAAGTTCTTTGGCCAGAACAATGTTGTGGGGATTCGTAATAAAGTATAAATCATTTAGTAAAGCCATGATTAGTACCACCAAAGACAAGGACAACAAATCTAAGGCCTTAATTTGACTACTAATGAGGACAAAACTGCTGAAGTTCATCATTTCATTTTTTTAAAGAGTTATTTATTTGAAAGACTTATGGAGAAAGAGGTCTTCCATCTGCTGGTTCACTCCCCAAATGACTGCAACAGCCTGGGCTGGGGTAGGCCAAAGACAGGAGCCAGGAGACTCATCTGGGTCTCCCACATGAGTGCAGAAACCCAAGCACTTGGGCCATCTGCTGCTGCTTTCCCAAGCACATTAGCAGGGAGCTGGATTGGAAGTGGAGCAGCTGGGACCCAAATCAGCACACATACAGAATGCCAGCATCACAAATGGCAACTTTATCCACTATGCACAACGCTGGCCCCTCTGACTTAAAAGGATGTTATCTGACACATGTAGTCATGAACATAGATCAGGGTTTCTCAGCATTGACACCACTGATTTGGGACTGCTTTTTCTGGTGAAGATATTCTGTGCATTGCAGAATATTTAGTAGCATTCCTGGCCACTGTCAACTAGTCACCAGTAGCATCCCCAATTATGGCAATCAAAACATCTCCAGGGGCGTAGCAGGAAAAGCCTCCACCCACAGTGCTGGCATCCTGTTTGAGCACTGGTTCAAATCCTAGCTGCTCTACTTCAGACCCAGCTCCCTGCTAATGAGCCTGGGAAAGCAGCAGAAGATGGTCCAAGTCCTGGACCCCTGCATTCATGTGGGAGACCTGGAAGAAGTTCCAGGCTTCTGGCTTTAGATCAACCCAGCTCCAGCTATTGTGGCCATTTGGGGAATGAACCAGTGGATGGAAGCTTCTCTCTGGCGTTTCTCTCTCTCTCTCTCTCTCTCTCTCTCTCTCTCTCTCTCTCTCTCTGCCTCTCTGTAACTCTGCCTTTCAAATAAGTAAATCTTAAAAAAAAAAAATCTTCAAGCATTGCTAAATGTTTAGCTAAATTGCTAAATTTTGTCTCTGGAAGGCAAAATTGCCCTTAGTTGAGAATA